TATATAAATTTTATGGCTCACTTGTGTATTATATTTGTAATTTATGATTTTTTGTTCATTGTAAACTCATTTTATAATGCCTGTTTTGTTTTAATTATAAGTTCTACCTGTGCGTTGCCAATTAATCTTATTTTCAGTAATCTGAAGGATTTATTTACTATTTGTAACTCATAATTATTTGTTTATTGTGGATTTCTCATTTAATATGACTGTTCTTAAATGACATGTTTCTGACATTTTATTTTTGTAATCTAAGGTTAACTATATTTTTATACTGTTATAATGTTCCATGTAAACAACTTTTATAATTGGTCTGTATGTACTGAGTGAGGACAAGTTATGTATGCATGTTGTGGATTTCTGGAATACTGAATAAATACTAATACCATAACCCACATTTCAAAGGACTGCTGTTAGAGAAAATTTGTACTTTTGATTACTTTATTCCTCATATTTAAATCTTCTTTGCCATTTTCTCTCACAAATGGATTTATTTATAGAGTGCTCTACTTTTCAATCATTTTAATTACCCTAAAAACATTAATATTTGTGACATTCTATGTAAGTTGTGTATTGATGTACAGTTTAATAAGTAATAAATAATGATGACAATGACATTAATTTTATCACGGCTGGGTTTTGGGGACAATAACTTTGAGAACTAGCTCTCATTATTCTCATTAGCCACTTCCTTCATGACAGAACCTAATTCACACTATACAGTACAGTGGTCCTTAACCTGTCTAGAGCTTTGAGGCTTGCTGCAACAGTGTGACTCATTACCTGCGCATCCAAGTTCCCTTTCATAGCGCCCTGTGTATCCCAAGGTGTCAGTGGCCGCATTCACCCTTACCGGACACCTGTGCATATTTCTTATTCCGTCCAGTTAAACTAATAGTTGCTAAAACCAAACAACTCAACATCTCAAATCAACACATTGATTCTACCAATTAATGAACCGGATTTATACTCTAACAATCAGTAAACCGCACACAGGCAAGTTACACACGCGACCTGAAAAGTCACAGAATATGCTGTAGGTTGTGACGCCGTATCGACTCTTCTGGCAGACTATCCGCCCCAAAAGACTTCTCGAGACCAACTGCTCAAATCGGAGTTCCACATATTATCATGTATTCTCGTGACGCGCAAAAATGCTGATCGCTCAGAAAACCTAAGGGTCAACAATTCCTTCCCAGACATCTACCTCCTGTCTTAGAGAACTGCCCAGGTGTCGTTCAATCGTTTCGTAAACATTTTCTATAAGATGACACTACGTTTGATCGCATGACTGAGGAATGCAAAACATCAGGGTCTGAGTTCAACTCTCGCTTCCGGACAGCCATCCGATCACTCAGTCTTACGACAACCTATATCAACTTCTAACATCTTTTCATGTCCGTACCAGAGCCCTCTAAGAGTAGAAAAAATTTGTTTCAAAACCTAGAAATAATTCGTCAGTAAACATTACAAATATATTGCACATGCTAAATTTTGCGGTGGAACCCCCTCTTCCTCCTGTTAAAATTACAATCGAGCTTTCTTCTGAACTTATACAATTGGATCACTGATGTAAATTAGGGAGTTTAAATCTAGAGAAAGTCCCATGAGCATCGCATAAGAAGACTCACAAGTTGAAGTTCACATGAAATTAGTGTGAGAAACAATCCTAACCTCAAACTGAATCTTCGGTGCTGCTGCATCAGTCAGTTACCTTCTCCATCACCATTGGTTTCAAAATATTATCATGAAAATCCCGGTTTGCGCGTACAGACACGTCCTAATGTGAACATCCGCGCTCCTGTAATATAATGTAAATTCATATTACTGGCAGAACTACAGTGAAATGTGGATGCAGCAAACCTGAGTTTTATTGTCATCTAACTAAATAACAATGAGGCTATTTAAAATATAGCGATAAAAAGGAGAACCACTTTGATAGAAGTTGCATATTTCTAAAGATCTGAATTCATACCAAAATTCAGGTTCATATACCATGTGGAATTAGGGCTGCTACCACCACAATTTTCAGTGTGTTGGTGGCATTACAGGCTGTAATACCAGTAGTATAATATAATGTAAATTAAAATATTGTCATGAGACGCCTCAAAGACGTGTCATTGTTACGAAATGGCTCAGTATTGAAACTCGTAACAGCTGGAATCAGGTACCGTGTGATAAGCTATTAGTGTCCAAGTGCATTATTTGGCAGTCTGCATCAGAATAAATAGCAACTTTTGTTTAGAACAATCAACCTGCTTACCGTTTTGGTATGCGTCCTTTTAAATTTGATCCAGCGCAACAGTCTGCGCAGAAGACCTTTCTTCTTTTGTTTCTTTGCCTAGAAAAAAAAGGGGTTCTTATGAATCTCTTGCACCAAACATTCTTAGGTAACAATTTTAATGTAGCATTTTCTTTTTTGGAACTCCAAGAATCAAATACTAATTCAAGTCATAAGCACTGTGGTTAGAAATTTTTGCATTTCCTGATATATGAATCAGTCTTTTCAAGCTACAATAGAAAATAACGTTTCTTTGAAAAACTCTAAATTAGAATTAAAAAAATATATATATAAAATGCCGCAATGGAGAATGAAGAATTTTTCTTCCAAATATATTCTGTGAAAACACAGTCAAATTCATTTGATGTAAATACTGAAACAAATATGTTGCAGTTTTCAAATCAGACTTTAAAGTAGACGAAATACTGACCATCGACTCTTTGCTGACATGGTCCAGATCATGGATGAGCTTCTCCACGCTCTCGACGTTCGCCGACACTTGCTTCGGTGGCTCACTCATGCTACAAGGTGGCGATGTAATTCTCATGGAGGGAACACATTCCGGGGTTTCTGGTACAGAGCAGAGCGTCTTTCAGTCTTTATATTTCAGCTCTCCCTATTAAGAGGGACAAATCATTCGCTAAGCCCTGCACATGCGAGAATGCTTTTAATTGCACCTCCAAAATGAAGTAGTGGTCATGGCATCACATTCCCTTTACAAATTTCTTTACCGTGTACCGTTATGAATGTCCACGAAAACCATAATCCACTTAAATTAAGCAGGAAATATCAGCTAGACGACTATGCTGACAATTTAGAATATTTTGAGACAACAGTAATACTTTAAAAGAACAAAGATCTCCAATTGACGCTACTGGTGAAGTTGGAAACAAATAATCACAAAGAAATGTAAGTAAAAGTAAATGCCTCATCGCCAAGGTGAGAGGAACAATTATAGCGTTCGTCCACTGAAAGTGTGGCAGTCTGCAAATATTTGGGGAAAACAGTAGCGTGTTAAAATGAGATTCATGAGAGAACCAATATGAGATTGAATTCCGCTGTGTATTCCAAAATATATTCCGAAAGATTTTGTCTTCTGGGCCACTGTCAGTATTTTCTAAATTAAAATATATGGAAATTAAATCTCTCTTGTGGTTTTTCTAGTATTGAAAATTGCACTTTTCCATTAAAATCAGATCAGTGACTGAACAAATAAGAAATAGAATGCTGCTGAGAAGTTTTGGACGAGGAGCGTCGCAAAATATTCCATTTTGCAAGTGCAACTGAAATGATTATCTAAAGTAAGAAGTAATGAGCAGGGAAACTATTACGAAAACATAAATACCAAAATTCTGGTTTCGCGTTCCATATATATCATTGTCTATAATAAAACTTCTTTCCGGAAAGAAAC